CATGAGGAGTTTGACTGACTTCATCTTGATTCCCATAAAAAAAATCTTGGGTGAAATCTTAGCCTCAGTCGCAAGAGCTGCATTAGCTTTCATCCCAACTGCAAGGATTCATCCCAACGTTGAAAGGGTCAGCCTTTTACTTCCAGTTTTTATACTGGAGGAGTTTTAGTTTTCTGCATCCCAAGTCATTTAAGGTGCATTATGTAGCTGAATTTCCTACACCGGCTGGAATTAATGCACAATACACTGCTGAGGTATGCAAACACCGACACCATTAAAGCAGTGCAAAAGCATTTAGCCCACTTCAAAGTGTTGTGCACACACGCCCCTTGTTTTGTCTACGCACGGCTCTACTTTAAGCTAGTCTCATGCTCAGGATAGGCTTCACTTTCTTCTTAATTACCAGAATACTGACTCCAAGAAGTTGCAAGTGTAATATCTGTAATGTGTTTTGGCAACTGACATAAATACTAGTATCTAATTAATATATAGTGTTTTGATAATAAAAGTGTAACAAATCTTACCTTTCCTACAGACTTTATAACAATCAGTCTTGCTAACAAAGTTATTGGAATTTCCACCACAGCCAGTGTAGCTGAACTCCTCACACAGTTTACTCTTTGAGTTGTAGTAGTAGCGAGTTATAGAAGCTGAACACAGTCCTTCATCCTTTGGGCTGTAGCACAGTGAGGGGCCAGCTTAAAAAAAAAATACTGTGGTCTCAGTACAGTTGACTTGTAATGCATAAACCACAACAAATATGGAAGAAGCAATCCTGTTCCCTTTGAAGTGGTTGAGTGTTGCCAGTGGCTTCAATTAGGGCTCTCTCTTTCCATTCCTCATTCCAGAACTGCCAGATTCTAATGAATACAAGCATACTACCACCACAAGTGAGGTTCTGACTCTTTCTCTACATGCAGTACTTTGCACTGGGTATTTGAAGAGTTGGAATAATTTAGGACTGAAACCTGCTTGCTTACCCAATCGATAAGTAGGCTAAAAAGGCATTATTTTGCCATCTACCCTTTCTATGATTTGATTTTCCAATAAGTAATGCATATAACTAAATACTCTCTATCAGAACTGATTCTATCCACAAGAATCAAATTATATTTTTGCCTCATCTGGACTGTGTTTCTGTTACCCATCCTATTTGCATATTTGTTAGGTAGGTATGCAAAAAACAAACTAAACAAAATTAACTTTTCACTAAGAAAAATGTTGCTAGCTTTTCTCTGAACCAATGAAGCAGTTGTCATGACTCTTTATTCATCCACAGGCGGTTTTATGCATCTGCTATAATATGGGGGGCTGAGTTTAGATATAGTTATCTTTTTTTCTCTTGAAGTAAGTCATTCAGAGACATGCAGGCAATCAACATTTATTGGCATATAAAAGTGCTAAAAGCAAGCAGCCTATGACTATACTACTCTGGCCTTTAATTTTAGAAAGGCACCCTTTCCTTGTGCTCAATATTTGGACATTAGCTCCTTAGGCACAATAATCACATTATTATTCTAAACTGCTTCTATGCAGAAATTCTGCCCCCCCACACCACCTCCCAATTACACCCATACAACCCCTTGGAATCCATAGATGTTATAAATTATAACTGAGTGGGGTGTTTGGATCATTAATATCAAGAAAGGTAACACAGCATGATGATACCTGAAAGTCTATAAACAAAAAATAATATGCCCAAGCTGGCTCAGAAATCACTTCTTAACAGCAGGCAAATGTCTGATTTAACAGAGTGAAAATCTACTTTTAGGTGTGTCCAGAGTTAAGGATTAGAAAAATAACTTATGAACATCATTTTTTTCTCTTCTGCCTCAGATTAAAATAACTTATTTTATTCAAATATTTAGGTAATCATTACTTTTTTGAGGTGCACATGTCTCCATACAAGAATCGTACTTTCTGAAGTTGTTGTCATTTCCATAGCATCCACCATAGATAAATGGCTCGCACATCATTGAACTTAGGTTGAAGGCATATCTTGATAGATAACTTCGACATGGTCCTGGGTCAGCCTCCATCCGGCATATTTTGGGCACTTCTAAAGTTTAAAAAAAAGAAAGAAAAAAGAAAAGCATTTAAATACAAGTGAAAATAAAGCAATTATGATTTCCAGTGTCTAAGATGCATCCTCAGTAACTTGAGACTTTAGAAACAACAATACAATTCTGGTGATACATATTTATCTTCGGCCTCTATTTAACTATATAGCTAATTCACATCTGTTAAGAGTACTCTTTATTACAACGTAACAAGCCTTAGATTAGGAAGCTAATAACTTTAACAGGGGCTTTGATACATTAAAAACATTTGGAGTAGAGGACAATGAGAAGCCAAACCTATCACTCCTTCCACCTTTTTCCTTTCCTCCAGTGGAGTGATTGTGTGCTGATTTAGCCAGCAAAGTCCCAAGAAAGCTCCATTCTTTTTACCCAGATAAATAGTTTCAGTGGGAATGTCTGCTAGCAAAAACTACAACTTAAGTCCAATGGCTAGCAGCATGCTATGCATATCCCTTCCTACCGAAAAAAAAAGCAAGGAGAAAACCAGCTGGCAAAATCCAATGAAGAAGGAAAACTTCATCCACCTGCCCTCAGAGGGTCAGCTTGTGGGAACTGGGGACGCAAACAAGGTACTGGCTAGTGCATTATATGCATTCAAGTGCTAGATGCATTTTCCCTCCCTCTCTACCCTCCCCAAAGTCCACATATTTGCATCTTCACCAGCTTCTCCTTTACTTTAGCTTCTTTTCTACCTTGGAGAACTCCTAACAGCAGTATTCCAATGCCGGAAGAAGGGTGTTTGTGCCCGAAAGTTTGCAAAGAATTTGTTTCCAACTATTTAGTTGGTCTAACAAAAGATATCAGCTCTACCCAAAGAACCTTGCCTGCCCCAAAGGGAGTTTCTGCTGCCTTGCCTAGAACCAGCTGGTCAGAAATGACTCTTTATATGCCATGTGGCACCAGACCCAGACACAGGCATGGGCAAACTGGACAGCTGCCCAGGGAAAGGGGGGGAGGGCCGAAAATTAAAGAAAAAATTACAATTGCAAAAAAAAGTTTTAATATTGCACATAGTTCCTGCTTGGTGCAGGGGGCTGGACCCTGAGATCCCTTCCAGCCTTACAATCTATGAATATATGCACTAGCAATGTTATCAATTGAGAATGGACTATTTAGACATCAATACCACTGATATGATAAAGATTTTTGCAACAAAAAAAATCATTATCTCTGGCAAAAAGGGACGGATACTAGAAGTTAACTCAAGAGCCACCAGAAGTCTAGGTGCGGCACTGTGGGGCACCCTTGGCAGTAGAAAGGGACTTCAACCACTGCCAGAAGCTGGTGGGAGATGTTACCCCGGGCAGGGCTGACTGGAGGGCAGGGTAAAGAGTTTTAGGAGGCAGAAGCAGCTATGGAAATCAGGTGGCTGGGACACAAGGCTGCAGAAAGCGGGCGGGCCCGTTGTATTGCAAGCCGGCATATGGCAGCGGGTCGTGCATTGGGAAGATGAAGACCCCCGCCCCTCCCTAGCGCCCGGCCCGCGGGGACTTACTCCGGATGAACCAGCAGCTCTTCTCGCAGTCCTCCGAGCTCTCGAAGTTGTTGGCGTTGCCCTGGCAGCCCCCGTAGGAGAAGGGCTCGCAGGTCTGCGTGTAGCGGTCGTAGTACCAGCGCGGCAGCAGCGCCCGGCACGGGCCGTCGTCCACGGGCAGCAGGCAGTTCCGCTGCGCGGCTGCAAGAACAGGCGGCGCCGTGAGGCCCGGAGCAGCGAGGGGCAGGGGCAGCCCTCACCTCCTCCCCCGTCCTTACCTGTCAGCGCCTGCGGGGCCT